AATGGAGAATTTTCACAAATATTCCAAACTTCCTTTCCGGACGAAGGCGTGATCCGAGATGTTATGCCTCAGAACATCCCGGCGGCACCGACTGGGATTGAACCCAGGCCTGTTGGGGTGGGAGGTAATCCCGCTTACTACTACACCAGCGGCGCCGCTGTTCGTGACTGTTTGGCATTGGAACTCAATGATGCTGTACTGGAGACTAAGCTGGTACCAAGAGGGAGCCCAAGAGATGAACCTGCCTCTGGCTGAAAGTCTCGCTAATAAAGATTACCTAACCTAACCAAGAGGGAGAGATCCATCCACGTTGAACTTCGAGTCAATCAAGAGTGGTGTAAAGGAGGATCTACGTGATTCGGCACTTTCCTGCGATTCTTGGCCTGCGAGTATCCGGTTTCGCAAATTTGAAAATTCACGAACACTGAAAGTCACCAAATTAAACAATCCTATGGAGTGACGACGATATCATGGGCTTAATACGCTTAGCATACGAGACGAACCGTAGAAAGCCTAATGGAAGCTCCCAATAACCCCAATTCAATCCTGCGTAATGCCGTCTTCGTTAATCATAGTCGTCTCGGCCCTGAGGTTGGCGATGAAAAGGGATTCTTCCACCACGTTTGCTCAGGCAAATATCTCAATAATTCGTGTTCGCCGTTGTGTGATAAGTTTTCACGTATCCAGGTACTCCCGAATCCCTCGAGGCTAAACGATGCGTCTTCGTTATCCTCGAATGGTCCATTTGCTCATCCGGAACACACAGTAGATTTTTCCATGATCTCCAAGAATATTGCTGCACCAGGACGCACCGTAGAAAGCATTTTGGGAGGCCTCAGCTCCTCTAGCTCAGTCGCGCCTATTGCTGCCTGCGTTAATTCAAGTCATCCTGGCCCTGAGTCTAGATGTCAGGGTCTCCCAGCTTGCTACATCAGGCAAGTACTACTGTAATGTTTCGGAGCCTGATGTTGATCCGAATTTCAGTGCCAAAGAAACTACATCTGCCAGTTGGTTTCCCGGAGCCTGCTCTGCTAGCCGGATACCGGAACGCTCTCTTGTTGCTCGCCTTGAGGAAGCACCTTTTCCACTCTCCACATTCGAACCCGGGACGAACGCCAACAGAGTGTTGCCAATACGCGAACCGGGAAACTCTACACGAAGAAGTGGTATGCGACCAATTCTGTGGATTTTGTGTCGCAAGACATGAGCCCACCAAACTGTCCTGAACTCCGTCCGATCGAAACCTATTGGGCCATGATGAGGCGCGAACTTTAGAAGACCAAAGGAGAGGCGAAGGACGAAAAGGAAGTGAAAATAAAGTGGGGAAAAAACTGAGCAAAACGTACCAGAAACGACTGTACAGACTCTAATGGAGCACAGCAAAAAAATAATTTTGATATCACGTCAAAGTGGATGCACTACAATCATGTCGAAAATATGGTGTAATATTACTTGCTAAAAAGGACAAAATTATCATTAATACAATGCATGCACTGACATTACGCTGCTTTTACTGCATTTGTTTATTTATGTGGTCATAAAAATTACATGAAATTTTCATCCACTTTGATGTGATATCAAAATTATGTTTTTGCTGTGAGGGTATCTATCGCAAATGTCGAGTATTTTATCGAAGACTTCAAATCAAGAAGGCTGGCAACTCTGCCAGAATTCAAGCGACACAAACAATGGCGGTGCGCTCGAGCAAAGGTGGAAGTACTGGATAGAAAAATGAGCAAATACACAAACCTTTCTTCTTAGGTTGTAATCTTTGCTATCAAATCGTTCGAAGCATTTATCTTTGAGCGACAGATGACGCGATTGTGTCGGTTTCATACTGCCTATAATCGCATATTAGTCCCATATGGATTTTCGTCAATTTTGAGATAACAATGCTATCCACTATCAATTGACATCTACTTTCATATTACGTGATAAAACTACGAACTTTGAAATGTGAAGACAACATCAAGTCAGTTTGTCCCATCAAGTAAAATAATCGCATATCAGTCCCATCCTAAAATTCAATCGTCCATAGTTCAAGTTAAAGTTCTACTTTTAGAATTGCCTTATTTTTCGCTGATATGATAAAACATACAAGCTTCATTGCAACTGATTTTATCTTGAATATATTATCAATAAATTTACTATGGCCCTTATTACGGGTGTCACTTCACGGTGAAAACGAAGTGAAGTGATCAGTTGTCACTCACGGTGAAGTGATTGCCATGTAAATCAAATGGGAATCACTTCACCGTGAGTGACAAGTTATCACTTCACCGTGAAGTGACATCGGTAATAAGGGCCTATGACTTTTCAAATATTCACATGGAAATTGCACTTCGTAACTTCGACGGTCATTTTCTCAATGCCTACTTTTTCCATATGGGACTGATATGCGATTATAGGCAGCACAGCCGTCGTATGTGAAAATGAAAGAGTTGCCAGTCTTCTTGATATGTTGTCTTCGATTTTACTCAAACTCATCCTAAAATGTAATCGACGTATGTAAGCTGAAATAAATAAATATACAGAACTACTGTAACAATTTGGTTTCATTTCGATAACTATACACGGCGAATGAGAACGACTCAAATTTGAGTTTAGTTCACTCATAATTGTCAAAAGTGCAGGAACTCAGCGATGAGTAAAATTTGTCTCATGGTTTCCTGTGGAAAACCTAAAAAATCTGCCGGAAAATGAGGAAATTGACGAAAACTTTATTCAGTCTCGGAGTAGTACCAATAGACTGAGTGAATCCAATCTTTACTTTTCTCAAATTCGGGAATTTTTACCTGGAAAATCCTGGAAAAACCTGGGAAAACATGAGGCAAATAAACTCATCGCTGAGTTCCTGCACTTTTGACGATTATGAGTGAACTAAACTCAAATTTGAGTCGTTCTCATTCGCCGTGTAGCCGATTAACCAATCATTCTAAATTGTCGCAATAATTATCGACTCACCCGTTAGTTGTATAGGGGAAATGGATGTAATGTTGGCCTAAATGACCCTAATTTGAGCCCATACATAAATTCAGCAATCAACTAAATTTTCAATAGCGACCAAAAATAACCATTAGTACCGTCCCAAAGACGCGTTCATCTAGATAAAATTGATGAATAGCAGATTTTTAGCGATGGGCCCAATCATAGATCCATAGGCCAACATTAGAGCCATTTCCCCTACTTCCATGAATTGGATTCAGGACTCAAAGTTATTTCAAATCAATTGCATTTAGAAGCTTTAAAGTGATGCTGCAATGTAATATGAGTGTGCAAATTTGTAATGTGAGTAAAATTCAAAAATGAAATGAATTTTTGTTACCAGAAATTCTTAATTTTCGTTACATGATGTAGTGATACAGTTAGTGTAGTTGAACTTTAAAATATATTGTAGATAAAACCAAGTATTTATTATAATTATTCAGAATTGAAATGAAAATGACGACACGGTTAAATAATAGAACAACATAAAAGCTCACTGCATCATGCGTTATGTTTGGGAACCAGGCATGTAATTAACGTAAACCTTTGAGTTTTGGCAGAATTTCTGGAATGTTCGGTCACGTAAGTAAGATGCGATTTGGATTCACTATGTGTGCTAATTTCAAGAAAGCAGGACGTGCGTTTCAGCGTGGGATCAAGGGGGGAAGGTGGCTGTCAAATACGAACAATCGTCGCCTACCTCGCATAACTGGTTCCAAACGTAAACAAGCCATAAGAAACCTACAGCGTTTGGAACCAGTTTCATACAAGAATGATCAGTAGGCCGATTTGACAGCACGTCCCCACCCAGCGTGGGATACGACACATGATAATATAAATCATATGTACCGATTACAATTACTGGAATATATCAAGCTGAACATTGCATTAGGTCCTAAGTGACATTGAAAGATTCTCTTCGTCGACTTTCTCTTTGTTTCACCACGGACATGTACAGACATTCCCAGGTATTTTCAGCAGACAGATCAATAAAAGAAGCTTTTATCTATCATCTAATATAGACCTTTTTGACGTTTAATAGTCTTTCTCTATCTATCACACTTGGGTGAATGGACGGTTTGTTTTCCCACTAATCTGTTTCTCTTTTGCTCACACTCGTTCAATTTAAATGGTACAGTAGTGTGCGCCGATTAAACGTCAAAAAGCTCTATGACAAGCACAATGAAAATATGTTTTATTAAGAAGAAACTAGACAGCTCGATGACAATAATAATTCACCAAAGTTCAAACAATAAGTAATGAAATATGAAAGGAGACTACGTTTGATCTAGGGATTAGGGAAAAATAAATCAAAGATTTGAATAAAATAACATTTATTGATACGCTATTAAGTACAATCAATGTTTGTTACACATAAAAAAGATACATAAATTATGCTGGGTAGAATATCTATAAACTCAAAACAGAAATCTAAAAACTAAACATTACACGAAAATATACATACATAACTGCAATAATTTTCTTCAACTACAAGTAGAAAACTTCTAAACGAAATGACTAACCTATAAATTCTAATTCTAACTAAGCATAACACTAAAACGAATAACAACTAGACAAAACAAATAATAACGCATCATAATGACAAGGGTTGCTTTGATCGACAGCTCTGCTGAAATCTTTCACGCTCACACGCTTGTTCGCTGGTTTGTTCATCGATAGCTTTGCTCCCGAAGGCGGCCCTGTTGCCTACCAAAAGGGGGAAGTGTGACTGCTCTTATTTTCACCACATCAACACTGACGGCGTAAAAGCGCGTGATGGTGAATATCGTAAGATCGATCAAACTTGCTCTGCTCGGCCTGTCATTTTCTTCTGTTTGATTTATGTTTCAAAATTGGCACATTTAAAATTTCATTTCATTCGTCGTAGACTACAAATGGATGATAAAACTAAGGATTCACTTAAATGTATTTCATACTCTAAACATAACATTTCTAAGGTGGTACTGGTAAAACTAGCATTGTATGTGTCTGTATGTCTTTTTTTGAGGGGAGTAAACCCGTTCGAAAGTAGCTCTAAAAATACTGACTAACTCGGATAGATACTGATTAATAACACTTAATTAAAAAAAAAAACGGGACAAAAGGGGAAATCCTCAACCGATACAGGGAAAACGGTTAAACTTGATTTTGATCAAAGTTAGTTTAGAAAATACTATTGAGCACCAAAACTTCCGCCGATCGATTTGCAATCGAAAATTCTAATGTATAAATCAAAACATCTCGAAAGTGCAACATAGAATAACAATTAAATTCCAGTGTAAAGCTACAAAGTACTTATCGATAACTGGTAAGATCTAACTAAGAAAATGTGTAAAAATTGAGCGCTGTATTTGTGTGTATCCTTCATAGGTGGATTTTCACTTTTCTGTAGGTCTGCTGCATCAAGCCGTGTCTATTTATATGAAACTCTTTGTACGATTCAATGAATGTCTTTCGATTCCTGCGACTGCGAAGAAAAGCTCGTCCTGGTAAACTCTATTGCTGAATGGGGATTAACTTCAATCTTTACGCCAGCGATAAAGATTGACAAACCTCGGGTTATGAACGTGTCTGTGTGCTTATGTGCCATAAAAGTGCTTAAAGCGTGCTTGGATGTGTGTTTGTGGAATGTCATTTGAAAATCTGTTGTTTGCAATTTTGCAGATTCTGTCCAAATGGTCGAACATAGTATCGATCTTACGAATCTCAAATATTTCCGACCGTTTGAACAAAACCTCCACTTCCATATGTGGCTAAGCTACTGTTCACTTCTGACTTTGCATTGTGGACTCCGAGCCCCACAGATCGTACCACGGACCGTAGGCTTTCCCATCCGAGGCGTTAGATTTCGTGGACTTGCGCTTCTGATTCCCATTAGCGTTCACCTTGGCACTGATCCTCGACTCCTGTTCCGATTCGTACTTCATCGAATCCATAATCGGCCCGGCACTGTTGGCCTTGGACAGTTTTGACCGGCGATCCCGCGTTGATTCTTCGATCATTTCCTCCTCCATCATCATCATTGCATCTTCATCGTCAACGGCCGTCCCGCGGAAGGTGGAAAACGGTATCTTCTCCTCCTGCTGCTGCTTCTTCGAATCGCTTCGATTCGCATCGCCGTTGGACTTTCTACCCTCTCGCATCCTGTCTCGATTTTTCCTCATCATCATATCTGCCGCGGAAACCAGATGATCATCCACCACGATGCAGTCGTACGGATCCGAACTCGACGAGTTCCGCTCCGTATCCGTGCCGCTCGAGTAGTATTGCTTCAGAATCTCCTTCCGGCGAACCGTCTTCATCAACATCATATCGTCCATCATACCATCGTCATCGTAGAAGCTCGTATCCTGAATCATGATCGAATCGCTCGGAATGATCGCAAAGTCGTCAAAGTGCTGATCCTGGTAATACTTGTTCAGTGCATCGTTGTTCCTATTCTTGCTGCTCTCCCTCTCTTTAGTTCTGTACTTTTCCTTACCATTTGCCTGCATCGAATCCCCATAGATCTGCTCTTCCTGTTCCAATCGATCATTATAACTGCTCCTGTTGTTGTTCGAATCGTTCTTGGTCGACTTTGACGGTTTGCGGCTCGATTCCTGATCGCGGCGGTCTTTGTCATGTCTTTCCTGACGTTCATGTCTGTCATGCCTATCGTGTCTATCCTGCCGGTCCTGTTTGTCAGTTCTGTCTTGCCTTTCATTTCTTTCTGGCCTTTCATTCCTGTCCTGCCTGTCGCTCCTATCATGCCGTTCTCTTTCCTGTTTCGACTGACTGACCTTCTTCTGTTGTTGTTGCTGCTGCTGTTGCTGCTGCTGTTGCTGCTGCTGATGTTGATGCTGATTCATCTCATCCAACTTGGAAATCCTCTTGTCAATATCGGATTTGGTGATCGGGAACTTGGCCTGTTCCGGGATCATCGCAATACTGTGTGGCCTCGGCAGTTGTTCTCGGTCCAGATCACGCTCACGATACTCTCGTTCACGTTCCATCTCCCGTTCCCACTCCCTCTCCCTTTCCTTCTCCCGTTCCCTTTCGCGATTCCTCAACAGCGTACTGGTCTCCATGGTTTTCATGATCTCCTTCTTCCTAGCGTCCTCCGCTTCCTTCGCCATGAGCATCTCCTTCTGCTTCTGCTTCTCCATCTGTTCTTTCTTTCGCATGTTCCTCTTCAAAGTGGCCTCCTTCTTCTCCATCTCGCGTTTCTCCCGACCGGTCGGAATTATATCGTTATGCTTCCACATTGCCATCCCCTCCATGATGTGGTCTTGCGATTTTGAAAACTTCCAAAACGACTTGGTCCGCTTGATCTTCTGCGAATCGCTCTGATTGGCATTTCCCTCGGACATTCGGGTTCGGGAGCGATAGCCATACTCCAGCGTTCCGCTGTTGCTCTCGGCAATGTTGCCGAAACTGTTCGCCTGGCGCATGTTCTGATGCTGCCGACGAGGTGGGACAATCGTGCCGTAGATGTCGTCGTCATCGTCCGGATCACCGCTGCCGTAGCGTGGATGCGGCGAACGGTGTTCACTCAGCTCGCGATCCGTTGAACGCGGCGACGAGAGGTTCTTCTCCGAACGGGACGATCTTGAAAGTAGAGAATGAAAGGTGCTGAAGGAGGGGTTTTCCTTGCCGATCATCGAAGGTGGTTAGATCCAAACCCGTTTGATGTCCGATTGTTAGTAATAGCTGTAGTTTATGACGTTAGTTGAGGTTGATGATCTGTACAGTGTTAGTTGTGGCTAGTGAGGGGTTTGAATTAGGTATTCGTGCGGTAAAAAGGAATTCAGATCAATTTGAGAGACCTTTCTTAAGGTTTGGGAAAACTGAAATGTTAGATCATACGGTGTTTAATAATTCGTGGAGGTCGAAAAGAATAAGTGGATGTCCATATTTGTTTTTATTTATTTCCACTGGACACCCCCTTTAAAATATTCCGAAATTTTTACATTATGTTTATCACGGTCTTTAACAGTGGCTTTCCACGATTTCAAAGTCGAGACCTTCCACGACTTCTAGGAGAAGTCTGTCCATGGCATCTAGGAGAGGCCTTCCACTGTCATTAGGAGCGGCTTTCATGGCCTTTAAAGAAGCTTTGCACGGCCTCATAGAGAAGCTGTCCGCAGCCTCAAGGGAAGTCGTCAACGGCCTAAAGCAGAAGCCATTCATGCTGACTTCAAGGAGAGGCTTCCACGGTCTCAAAGAGTGGCCTTCCATGGCCCCAAGGAGAGGCTTTCAACGGTCTAAAGGGAAGCTTTCCACGATCTCAAGAAGAGACCTTCCACGATCTCAAGGAGAGGCCTTCCATAATATCAAGGAGAGTCCTTCCATAATCTCAAGGAGAGGTCTTCCACGGCCATAAGGCAAGGCCTTCCATGGCCTCAAGGCAAGGCCTTCCACGGCCTCAAAGTGAACCGTTCCACGGCCTCAAGAAGAGGCCTTCCATGGCCTATAGTAGAGGCTATCCACTGCTTAAAGGATATACCAACCATGGCCTCAAGGAAAGGCCTTTCAAGGAAAGCCGTTTCAAGGAAATGTGTTTCACAAGGAGAAACAATTAACGGCCTCAAGGAGGGCCTTTTACGGCCTCAAGGAGGGTCTTTTAGGGCCTTTTACGGCCTTAAAAAAGCCATTTGCGGCCTCAAGGATAGGCCTTTCATGGCTTCAAGGAGAGGCGTTCCACAAGGAGAAACCATTAACGGCCGCAAGGAGGGCCTTTTACGGCCTTAAACAAGCCATTTACGGCCTTAAGGGTAGGCCTTTCATGGTCTCAAGGAAAGGCTTTGACGACCTCAAAGAGAGGTCTTTCTTGGTCCCAAGGAGAAACCTTCCACGGCCTGGAGGAGAAAACTTTCACGGCCTCAAGGAGAGGCCTTTATCAGCCTCAAAGAGAGGTCTTCCACAGTCTAAAAGAGAGGCTTTCTACGGTTTCAAGGTGAAGGCCTTCACTAGGAGAAGTCGTCAACGGCCTCTAGGAGAAGCCATCCACGGCATCAAGGAGGATCTCTCACGACCTCAAAGAAAGGCCTTCTACAGCCTTATGGAGAGGCCTATAAAAGCTTCCTTTCACGGCCTCAAGGAGAGACCTTTCACGGTTTCATGGAGAGGTCTTTCACAGTCTGAAGAAGAGGCCTTTCACGGTTTCAAGAAAAGGCCTTTCACGGCCTCATGGAGAGACCTTCCACGACCTCAAGGAGAGGTTTTCCACGGCCTCAAGGAGAAGTCTTCCACGGCCTTAACGCGAAGCCTTCCACGGCTTTCCACGGCATCAAAGAAAGGCCTTCTACGACCTCCAGAAGAGGCCTTCCACGACTTAAAGGAGGGGTCTTCCACGATCTCATGAAAAGGACTTTCACAGCGTCAAACAGAGGCCCTGCACAGTCTCAAGGAGAGGCCTTCCACGGGCTCAGGGAGAGGCATTCCACGGTCTCAAGCAGAGGCCTTCCACGGCCTCAAAGTGAGGCCTTTACGACCTAACTGAGAGGCCCTCCACGGTCTTAAGGAGAGGCCTTTCATGGCCTTAATCAGAGACTTTTCACGGCCTCAAGGAGAGTGCTTTCACAAGGAGATTCCGTTATCGGCCTCAAGCAGGTGCCATCTACGGCCTCAAGGAGAAGTCATTTACGACCTCAAGGAGAGGCCTTCCACGGCCTTAAGAAGAGGCCTTCTATGGCCTCAAGGAGAGGCCTTCTACGGCTTCTTCTAAGAGTGGCCGTCACGACTTTTGAGAGAGACCTTCCAATGAGAACCTGTTTATGGTTTCAAAGAGAGACATCCCAACAAACTGTGAATGTTTATAGAATAAGAGCTTATTCAGGCAAAAATAAGCTTTTTCAGCTAAACAATAGCTTATTCAGCTGTTAATCAACTCAAATTATTTGTTGGGATTCCACGACCACATGGAGAGGCTTTGCACGGTCTTATTGGAGAGGCCTTGTACGACCTCATGGAGAGGCCTTGCATGGCCTAATAGAGAAGCCTACAAGACCTCATGGAGAAGCCTTCCACGACCTCATGGTGAGGCCTTTCACGATCTCGTGGAGAGGCTTTCCACGGTCTCATGGAGATACCTTCCACGGTCTCATAGAGAGACTGTCCATGACCTTTAGGAGAGATCAAGTAAACGCGTGTCATGGCTTCTAAAAGAGGTCTTCTACGGCTTTTAGAAGTCGTTTTCGATGAATTCCAGGAGATAATGTGCATGGCTTCTACAAGACACCATTACTGCAGCTAAGAAAATCCTATATTGACCTCTATGAAACGTCTCCCGCAGTCTCTAGTAGACCTCCACGGCCTCGAAAAGCTGTTTTCCAGGGCTTCTTAAAGATGACCTCTAGGAGAGATCCTCCATGGTCTCTAGGTAATCTCTGCCACGGCTTCTAGAAAAGGCCTATCATGACTTCTAAGAAACGTCTTCTGTGTTCTAGTACTGCTCTTTCACGATCTTTAAAAGACTTTTCACGGACTCTAGAAAAACTATTCCACGGTCTTTAGGAGAACTCTTTTAACTCTTGTTTCATGGTGAGGCCTTTCACGACCTCATGGAGAGACCTTCCACGGTCTCATAGAGAGACTGTCCATAACCTTTAGGAAAGATCAAGTAAACGCATGCTGTGGCTTATAAAAGAGGTCTTCTACGGCTTTTAGAAGTTGTTTTCGATGATTTCTAGGAAATAATGTGCTTCTAGAAGAAACCTTTATTGCGGCTACGAAAATCCTATCTCGACCTCTATGAAAGGTCTCCCGCAGTCTCTAGTAGACCTCCACGGCCTCGAAAAGTGGTCTTCCACGGCTTCTTAAAGATGACCTCTAGGAGATATCCTCCATGGTCTCTAGTTAATCTCTGCCACGGCTTCTAGAAAAGGCCGATCATGACTTCTAAGAAAGGTCTTCTGTGTTCTAGTACTGCTCTTTCACGATCTTTAAGAGACTTTTCACGGACTATGGAAAAACTATTCCACGGTCTTTAGGAGAACTCTTCTTTGTTAACTATGGTTGACCTCCCAACTAACATCCTAAATTTTATAATGGGTTTAAAGCATGCTATAAGTCTAAATCATGGTCTACAAGACCTTCATAAAACTAAAATTGTTACTTAGGCTCTCGTGGCTTCTAGAAGAGCCCTATAATGGCTATAAAAGGGGTCTTCTAAAGCACCTAATAGTGCTCTTCCACGGTTTTTTTTTTGTAAAGAGATCATTGGAAAAGGCATTCCACGGCATTGCACGACTTCTAGGTGATACTCTCTACGGCTTCTAGGAGAAGCATTGCACTACCCCTAGAAGAGCTAAGTCCATGATCTCTGAGAAATATGATTAACGGCCATTAGTAATGACTGCCACGGCTTCTAGGAAAAGCTTTTCATGACTTCTAGAAGTGGAATTTCCCGGCATCTAAGAGGAATCTTCGACACCATCATACTAAGACCTTCCACGAACTCTAAAAGAGACCTTCCATTACAAGACCTTTAAATTAAACTGAACTCCTTACGGTTCTTTCAGAGAACACAAACCTCCAGAGATCCTTGAAGAACGTCAGTTATTGGAAATAATTCCATCTACCACCTGTTAGTAACGAAACTTCCATCCACCAAAGCAAGCACTTAGAATAGTCACCAATTCGGGAACATGAAACACCTACCTAATCGGAACGCGGTGCACAGTTTCGTCATCCGAGTAGAGTTCCGGCTCCGGTTGCTGTTGCAGTTCGTTGGAGAATCCACTGTCATTGCTGCTATGTAGTGAGGCACTGGCAATTCCATTTCGTGAAACCTTGGGCTTGTTGCTCGATTGCTGAAATCAAATGATTTTAGTTTGAAAATTGACACTTCCTCAACGAATTGTGCCCAGATCCTACCGGTTTGTTAAAGTTCATCGTTGCCGAGGGGGTCTTGCGCTTCTCGACCATCGGGGCCCCTCCGGACGAGGAGAAGCTGCTGGACTGCGGAATCCCTTGTGGTTTGCTGTAGTTAGGCACTACCGGTGTCGGAACGGGGGCCGGAAGCTGCGGTGGAGGTCCTGGCTTCGGTGGCTTCTCACCACGGGACAGTCGACGGAACTGCTTCGACTGCCGGTACTGGATGGTGTCGCCGAACATCCGCGTCGGTGAGGCTTCGTCGTGATACGAGTTGTTGTTGGCCTTCGGCATTGGCATGGGGTCATCCACCAGGGTGCTCTCCAGCGACGAATCCGGTGTGTTGTCAACTTCAATTTCACTCGGTGGAGCCTTGACCCATTCGCTGATGCTGAAAAGAAAACGGATTGAAACAAATTTCCCATTTTAAAGGCTACAGCGAAGCTAACGAACCACTCCTTCTCTTCACGTTCGTTTTCCGTGTACGCTATCGGGAACCAGCCAAACTTCTGCGTCCGTAGATTTTCACCAAACTGCCATCCCTTGGCCCGGTCGCCAACCAGAGCGATCTTATCGCCCTCCAGGAAGCTCAGCTGATTCTCCCCCGAGGACAAGTACGCATACAGAGCCTTCACCGTCAGTCTTTCCCACTGACTGGTTTCCTGGCTGACCATGGAGACGTTCATCATGTGTCTTTGACCGCCTCCCATTCCACCGACCAGGGTACTGGTGTTGCTGCTATTGTTCAAATTGAACTCCGATTTGGCACGTGGCATCTGGATCATGGAACTGTTCACGACGTCTCCCAGCGATCGCATATCCAGACAGGAAGCGTCGATCGACCGGGTCTTCCTCAGCTGTGAAGCAATCGACTGGGCATCATCGTCATCATCCTCCATGTCCTTCAGTTGCTTCGTGGTGAACATGTTCTCAACGTTCGGTGGCAAGAATTCACGGGTAGCGGCCACTTCGTTCCAATTGTCCAGCGATTTTTCGATGATCAAGTGTCCAGAGTGATGATAGGCCATCCAGTGCTTGGCCAGCGAGCACTGCCGTTCCAGTACGAATCCATAGCGTCGGCGTTCCTGGGTCATGGCGTTCTTGAGGCTGTGTTCGCAGAATTGGTCCAGCTTGTGTTTCTCCTCCTCGAAGCTTTGGATGCTCTTGATCTCCTTCTCGGCGTCCTTGGGCGATGTCTTGGAGCTCTTCTTGCGGTATTTCTTCATAGTGGTCGCAGCTTTGGTGTAGCTGTCCGAACGGAGCTTGTGCTGCTGGAGAAATTTCTTCTGCTCAAACTGGACCACCTTGGTGTCCTTCTCCAGGTTCGTCTCCAGCGGTACCAGCAGGTCCACGTAGAACGCTTTCAGCTGGAAGTAGCATAGGGGGTATGTTAATCAATTCGTTCGATGGAATTGGAGAGGGACTTTCATGGGATTGAATTATTCAACAGACCACCGCCCTTAGCTCCGTTTTTAACGACCGATTCCGAAGGGTCCGAGTACGATAATTTATAGTTATGGCTGGTCAAAGCTGAAGAAAAAAAGCTGTGCACGCTCGCAGTATAATAATAGCAACAAATCGATAACTATACATGTAGACAAACATACTCGAGCCTTTCGAAATGGTACGCAGATGACTACCGCCATGCGGTCAAATATTCCGACAAGATATTGGCTAGGGCTATTGAAAACACAAATCATAACTAATCTTGACCGGTTTTCCGAAGGAGTAGGATTGCGTGGGATGAGAGTGGCAGGGCGAGGGGATCTTACAATGTTCATGTGCTGGTCCTGGATTTCTTTGTAGACTCCGACGATGTTCATCAGGGCGGAACCTGCAGGGAATTGATAAGACAGAAAACATGCAAAGAAACACAGAAGGGGAAAAGAGAAAGGCAATTATTAATGATTGTGTACTGGCGGCCGCCGCGTTAAGGTTTGCCGTATTTTGCTAGGCATGAAGGTTGGAGGAGATAAATTTAAATTAGAGTGAGGTTATGTACGGCAATAATATGTGGCTAGCATGGTCGGCAATTTGCTTCGCAGACAGGTGGTGAAATCTGGAAAGTTTGGTCGTTTCGGCCAAGCCTAGATTGCATGAGGCTTCTCTGTACGAACGGGATGTGTTTCGTTGTAACCATGTTTAACCAGCAGTGAGCTTCGCCTTAAATCACATTTTACCTTGAAAATTTCTGCAGAACCCAGAATTTCCGTAATACTTCTTGCTCAACCTCTTTAAAGCCTATCCCAACGGATGAATTATCCTACGATTCACATTTCCAATGGCAACCGAACAGGAACCGTCTGCCTCCAGCCAGGGAGCTAAATTGTACGCAATAAGTAGCAAAATGAATTGTTGTTTCATGTTGCTACAATTTATTTTTTGTTTTGTTATTTTTTGCATTTCCTCTGTCTGTTGTCGTTCATCGTCAGGTTGAGCAGCGGGTGCCTGTGATAATTTAGCGGAGAATTTAATTTCATCCTGCTGCTGTTGGGTTGGGTTCTGCTCTCTTTCCCGAATACCGCCTACGATCTCTGTGTATCTACAGGAGAAGTTCTGGTGCACCGAAAATTCCGGATTGCGGTGATGGAAAAGCGCAATTTTTACGATAAAAATGGTAACAAGTTAAGAAACAGAAACAGATTCCCAGACTAGGAGAGTCACAACAAAGTTTAATAGTTTTAAAACCAAACAAAAAACCACAAGTTGACACACCGAAACTGGTCGGAAACGCAAAATTAAATCAGCAATCAAATAAACAACAAGATCCAGAAACAATCATGTTATCAACTTGAGTCGAGGTGGAGTGTACACTGAGCACTCGCAGAATCCTTGCTCCTTTTTTTCACTTCGAAGAAAGCAAGGCGAGTGGCAACTCTGTGGAAAATACAGAGCAACAGTGACGAAGACGACGACCGAGTTCCAGGACTTCCAGATTGATGGATGATGACGGTGAAGAAGCGAGTATAAATGCTAAGAGAGGGTGGATTTAAATTCGCTTTTGTTCATTTTGGGATTGCTCTTTGGCGAACTAAATTTAATTTGAAATGCAAAACAAATAAAGCGTGATGAAGTGTCGTGCGCTGGGTCGCCTTTGCCAACGATGGCAGTCTACGATTTGGACATAATTTAATTGATACCTCATCATCAGCAACAGCCTTGCTCGACATGAATCGTCATCTGTAACGTGAATCACAGTGGAAGCAGAGTGAGTGTATCAGCCATGTCCCTTCCCTCAAGGGAAGACCGAAACAAAAAATCAAACCATAAATTCGCCGGAAAGTAATTTCCCATCAGGTAAAGCCAATTAAATGCCAGTTTGCAGCAAGGGAATAAGTATTTGCTAAATATCAATGATTTTTTTATTCGGGAGCTGCTGGGAGATCTTTAAGGGTAAGTTCCGGGAACATCAGGTCAGCTCCACGAGCTTCAGTAATTTATATAAAGATCAGGAAACTTCACTAAAGATTTGATCGCAGTAGGCCGCGCTTGAAAGCTGACGTGTTTTTCTTTTGCTGCGGATTTGTTTGCTTTAAATTTGTTAATTTGTGAGCTGAAATTTAGTTTCAAAAGTTCATGAAGTTGCCATTTAGTAATATATCATGTTTTACCTGTGTTTGCAAAAAAGCTTGACTGCTGGTCTCTCGCCGGTGTCGGAGATTGCGAGCAATATGAAAGATACCTCACTGGATACGCCCAAGATTGGACGGGTGCTAGCTGGTGGCCGCGAAAGGTTCCTGGGGGAAGCACTAGACGTGAACCTTCTCCCAGATGACCATGGCAATGCAAGACAATTTATGTTCGTTGAAGTAACTATTACGACAAAGGTGGAACACGAAATGAGATGCAACACGTAGAGAAAACTGGAGGATCGAATTAACATGGTAAGACCAATCCTATAAATTTGTCGAACCTCTTAACGGAATCCCTTTATGAAGAGCTTTGAGCGGGTTGGTTTATTTCCTTTAAATTCCGTTATAATTGCTTATCTTTTGACAAATACGCGTCTTTCGTCTACTACTTGCAGACTTCAACAGTGCCAAGTAGTGGTGTTGAGTACTTGGCACTGATGAAGTCTGCAAGTAGTAGACGAAATACGCGTATCTGTCAAAAGATAAGCAATTATAACGGAATTAAAAGGAAATAAACCAACCCACTCAAAGCTCTTCATGATAAGACCAGTCCAAATACTTTTTAATATTAAAAACAAAAACATAAACTAAAAACGTGCCAGGATTCAAAAGAAAATTTTGAAACTGGAAGTGTGTGTGTGTTAAAATTAAGTTTAATTCACGTAAATTTGAGAATATGCAATTTACTCAACAGAAAATTATTGGGCTGAACTATATCGTAGGGTCAAATCTCTCGTTCCTTTTTTGACAACAATAAAGAGTGCAAGTGAGAGGTTAAACTCAATATTAGGTAAAAAGAGTTAAAATTTTGGGTAGTATTTTTTCTCCGTGTACTTTTCATTGCTATGACGACGACTGAATTAAGGGGCTTATAAACAGAGGGGTGAAATTCAATTTTCTTCATCGGTTTCCTTCATTAACCTATTGCGCGCTATTTCTGCTATGCTCTTCTATCATCCAGAACAACAAACGTATCAATGAATGTGTTTGCCGTCGAGTTTAAAACGAAACAGTCGATGAAGAGAATCGATCAAAATCACTTGCACCCCTGCTTCCAAGTTTGGTTACAAGATTACAACTCTGGAGAGCATTTTGTGTGGTCGTTGGGGGCGTGTAGTTCTAAATATGGCGATGTGCAAAATGTTACGCAACTGAATCCTCCCTATTCGCACACGCCCGAAGATCGGAGGCGAATGCCACTTCCACTTGTTTCGTCTACTAACGACTCTCTGATGACAACAATTCTACATCGACATGTTTCGTCTAGAAACGATTTTCTGATGACTGTGTTGGGGAAGCAGCATGTGTATTTTGGACAAAGCTTGACATTGACCACTTTTTCAATAGTTTTCAAAAGCACTGCTATCGATGCGAAGAAATATTTCTGATCGATTGGTAATAAAATTATTGACATCTGTCCAGGGGCAACTGAGTTATTAACGTTCAAAATCTTTCATAATTTCGTTACATGTTCCATTTTTGGTTTTCACAAAGTGTACTCCCGTATAGAAATCACAGACGTAGTCCTACGTCAAAACGCAGCAAGAAGAGGAAGAAAAATCGGGGCCAGTCGGATGGCACGATTGGTCGCGACGATGCCTCTGCGACGAACGGAGATTTCGGTGACGCTTCCGAAAAAGAATATGCTGCCGATATGAGCGCGGCAAGAGTGAAGCTACCTCCGCTGGTAGTGAACAATCCCCATCTTAACGAGTTCATCGCGGATCTGGCGTCGCTGGGCGTCAAAGTCGAATTCAAGTTGGGCAGAGTCAGTACCAACTGAGGCCAGAATCAGCCAACTGAGGACTTCCAAGGTGGAATTCTTCACCCACGACATTCCCGGTGATAAATCGTTCAAGGTCGTCATCAGGGACCTACCAAACTTCGACCTGAAGTTTATCGAAGCTGAAATCAGGGACCGGTACAAGCTGCCCCTTTTCCTGGTACACTTCCAGAAGGGAACGGTGACGCTCAACCAGGGGTTGAAACTGTTGACGTTTTTTACTACACTCGCTTCGTTGTCATGCGCGACAGTCTGTTTTTATTCCTACACTCATGCTCTACCGTCGTCTCTCTCACACAACACAACCGGTAGAATAACATTCGAGAGAAAAGAAAATGATCAAATAACTATCTTATGAAATGAGTAATTTCGTTCTAATTTCTCAATTTGGTGTAAATTAAACCATTTCTGATCAGAAATGTTATTCCTATGACATCATTGCTTGCTATTTTCAGAATTCACACAGGCACAACATCAGCAGCTCTTATTATGAGAAAAACTAAAATACATACATTCGTGACGGTCTTCGGCGACAGTTTCATATGACAGAGCCTGTCGTATGACATTTGAGTTTGGTACTGTACTATGATAGCTTGTTTTCCAAGTGTCGGAGGCAAAAGCAGTCGATTATCACAGAAAATGTGTCGACTACCGTGACCGCTTACAAGACTGCGCTCAACGCACTGAAAGCCATCCGCTCCATCAATTCCATCATCGCCCGCTGAGAACCATATCGTGGTGGCCATCGCGATGTGACTCAGTGCCAACGGTGTCTGAACTTTGGACACGGCAGCCAAAGCTGCAACATTAAGCCACGCTGTGGCAATTGTGCTCAAAACCACGCCACCTCCGAATGTGCTGCGGATGAAGCTGTGGCGTCCAAATGTGCCAACTGTGGTGGTGCTCACCAAGGATCCTACAAGCAGTGCCCTAAACGCGAGGATTTCAAGCGCATCCGAAAACAGGCGTCCAACAACAATCAACCAGCTTTCAGGGAGGAGTACTTTCCGCCTCTTCACGGACAAGCGAATTCGTGGGTGCGATCTGCTCCCCCTCAAGAAACGTCTGGATCTTCTGCTGGGCAAAGCTCTCCATCCCCCTGGATTTGGGAAACAACCAACAATGCAAAACAACAACCCCGATCTGTTCTCAGCGGATGAATTGATGGAGATTTTCATCAACATGACCGGTGCTCTACGTAAGTGCCGCAATAAGCCCGAACAGATTCAAGTGCTCGGTAAGTTCATCATCCAGATTGGTGTCTAAACCGCTAACGTTGCCTGACCACAATATTATTCGGCTTGATCGCACCAGCTCTTGGGGTGGTGGTGTAGCGGTCATCGTTAGAAAGGGAATCAAGTTCTGCACTCTGCCCCACATCCGCACTTCTATCATCGAGGTCGTTGAATCACCAA